GCCGGCTGCTTTTTGAGAAGAGGTGGGACGTCTGTGTTTCTTCTGCTGCCCTACAGACCCTCCGGCAAGCCAAGTGGAACACTCCGGACCTGCTCCCTCTGACTGAGGACGTTAGAGCCATGCATGCACATATTGAGGTATGTCGACCTGAATATGTGCAAACCCTAATAAGTGAGCCAACGTCTAAGCATTGGTCTAAACTGGCAGTTTTGACTCTTTGTGAGGTCATTATTTTCAATCGAAGAAGGGAAGGTGAGGTTTCAAAGATGCCACTGACAGCGTTTACCTTAAGAAGTAAGACTGGGATCCATTCTGACATTGCTCTGGGACTGTCCCAACTTGAGAAAAAGCTGTGTCAGCATTTTCAACGCATTGAAATTAAAGGGAAAAGAAGTGGGAAAGTGCCGGTTCTTTTGACTCCTGAAATGATTGCTTCGATGGAGGTGCTGGTGGAGAACAGAAGGGCCTGTTCCATCTCTGACCATAACCCATACTTCTTCTCCCGCCCGGGCGCAGACACCCACATCAGGGGATCAGACTCCCTACGGCAGGTAGCCAAAGAATGTGGTGCGGTGCATCCAGAGATGCTATCCTCAACCAAACTTAGAAAGCACATAGCTACTATGTCTACAGTTCTCAATATGAAAGAGAATGAGATGGACATACTTGCCAACTTCCTCGGCCATGACATTCGCATCCACAGGCAATATTACAGACTACCAGAGGGGACACTGGAGCTGGCCAAAATCAGCAAAGTGTTGATGGCCATGGAGCAGGGAAGAGTGACGGAATTCGAAGGAAAGAGCCTCGACCAGATACAAATTGAGCCTGAAGGTAATTCTTGATATTATTAAAATATGTATGATTTTTTTCCCCTAAAGGCCACTTGTATTTTTATTTTCTGTGCGACAGGGAGAGCAGTAGAGATCCTCTCACAAACGGACGGGCTAAAAGAAACTTCAAGCGGAGAACCTTCAACCATTCATCCAGATGCACCCCATGGTAGTGGCAGTGCCCCTTCTGGTAAGTGTACCAGGTGGGGGATTACAGCCAGGCTGCTTGGTCCTAACCCTGGGAGTGTATATTGCTAATATATTTTTATTTCTCTCCCTAGAACGTTAGAGAAAGCCATGGTCTGCATCTGAGGTGAAGGCTGTGGAGAAGACCATGACACCTTTCATACAGACTGGAAAGGTCCCTGGGAAGTCTCACTGCCTGGCCTGGCCTGGCCTGGCCTGCATTAATGCCTCACCAGATGACCTTAGACATCGGACATGGAGTGGCATTAAATTCTATGTCAAAAATAGAATCACTGCAATTCGAAAACAAAATCTAAAATAAAATTCCTTTAAAATAGTTGTTTGGTTTCTATTGACTGTTTTGTATTACTTAAAGTAGTCCCAGTAAAAAAGATTATGTCTATGGGTCCCATTCTGAACGGCCCTGTCAAAGGGACCCACCAGGTAACAAAAACGTGTATGTGTGTGCGTGTATGTGTGTGTATGTGTGTGTGTATGTGTGTGTATGTATATGTGTGTGTGTATGCATCAAACTGAAATGTCCCCATTGTGGGACAAATAAAGGACCTTCTTTTTAAACGTTGATAAAGTATTAACTGAAGCTGGTTATTCCACATTTTTCCTCCAAAGACAGACACACATCTTTGTAAATCATTATAAATCAGACTAAAACATGTTTTGTCTTCTTCCTTTTTACCACCACCACTAGTTCTGCCTTAAAGTCTGACCTGATGCACTTTTCTCACTGTCTGCACAAAGACACACTCAAACCCATTAGCGCTGTAGGAGCCCAGTTAAAGGACTGGGCTCTGTGTGCGATGGAGGAGGTGGGAATGAATCAGGAGATAAACAGTGGGATTGACAAACAACACATTCAATTAGCAAAATAAAGTGGAAAATAGAAAGGCAAAACAAACCTGCTATTACTGCCAGATCCCTGCGGGTGCCGTTCCCATCATGCATCTCTCCTTTGTTAGCGGCATCTTGATCTAAGTCAAACAGAAACAAAGAAGTTCATTAACACTCCTCCTATAGACACAATCAAAGACTTAAGCTTCGGTCTTAAAGAATCTATCCCTTTCTAATGAGTTCATATAAATGTTTATTACAGCATACAAGTTGTATTATAATCCGTAATTTAATTGAAAACTTGGGCTCATTGTGTATAATTCAGGCCTTAAAAAGTAGGGATGTACCGCATCCAGGATTCGGCAGAATCTTAACCTGTGGATTCGGTACATCCCTAGTAAAAAGTGTAGAGCAGAGACTTTAGCGTGACGCCCGCTAGGAGTGTGACAATATATCGATATGGTGATGTATCGTGATACTTTCTCATGCAATTAATTATCGATATGCTTTTGCCAAGTATCAATAAAAAAATATTTTTTTTAAATTAAATTTTCTTTTTAAGCTTTACTTAAAAGCTTACTAGTATTGTTACTTAAAATATGGCTACATTGAACATTCTACAGAAATTGTAGAATGTTCATATGGATTTTATTAGATGTGAGACAGATTAAGTTAGATTTGTACTAAAATGGTTAAAAGGCATTTTAGCTTGTTCACTTTAATGTTACACATGACACTTTATCCATTTATTTTGAAATAAAGTGTATTTTTTCACTTAATTTATACCATAAATATTATACAAATATTATCGTAGGTATATTTATGACCAATATATTGATAATTGTTGCATCGTCATATCGTGAGATAATCGTTATCGTGAGCTTTGTATCGCACATCGTATCGTATCATGAGGTTCCCTGAGGTTCCCACCCCTAACACCCGCTCTCCTCCAATCACAGAACGAGGCGGCGTCCTCTAGCCTCTACAGCGCTGCTAAACACAGTAGCATGTTAGCATAAGTGGCTATAACTCCTCTGGCTGTAACTGCAGACACAGCAAAACAGCCCAAACCACACAACAGTGAGGAAGAGAAGAGGGACTAAAGCCGGTCAGCACTAGATCATATACGGAATCGGGACGAAACCGGAAGTAACACTCGTACTTTCGAATTAGTTTTAGACTAATATGTCCTTAAGTGGTGACTGGTTAAGTTTTAGGCGTCTGAGTAAGATGGTTAAGGTTAGGGTTAAGGCTGGGTTGGGGTTATTTTATGGGAATAGCTGGTTAAATTTAGGCATTAATAGGTAATTTGTAATATTTACTTCCGCTTCCGTCCCGATTCCGTATATGATCTAGTGCTGACCGACTAAAGCCACAACATGATCAAAGAAGAAACCAAGCCCTGAACAGAGCTAGCTTACATCGTATCCTCTGGAGAGACTTGTCTGAGGGAGAGACCTGCGGGACCGCCTCGGACTATCTACGCTCGGACTATCTACGCTCGGACTATCTACGCTCAGACTATCTACGCTCGGACTATCTACGCTCGGACTATCTACGCTCGGACCATCTACGCTCGGACTATCTACGCTCGGACTATCTACGCATTATCTACGCTCGGACCATCTACGCTCGGACTATCTACGCTCGGACTATCTACGCTCGGACTATCTACGCTCGGACTATCTACGCTCGGACTATCTACGCTCGGACTATCTACGCTCGGACTATCTACGCACTATCGACGCTCGGACTATCTACGCTCGGACTATCTACGCTCGGACTATCTACGCTCGGACTATCTACGCATTATCTACGCTCGGACCATCTACGCTCGGACTATCTACGCTCGGACTATCTACGCTCGGACTATTTACGCTCGGACTATCGACGCACTATCGACGCTCGGACTATCTACGCTCGGACTATCTGCGCTCGGACTATCTACGCTCGGACTATCTACGCTCGGACTATCTACGCTCGGACTATCTACGCTCGGACTATCTGCGCTCGGACTATCTACGCTCGGACTATCTACGCTCGGACTATCTACGCTCGGACTATCTACGCTCGGACTATCTACGCTCGGACCATCTACGCTCGGACCATCTACGCTCGGACTATCTACGCTCGGACCATCTACGCTCGGACTATCTACGCTCGGACTATCTACGCTCGGACTATCTACGCATTATCTACGCTCGGACTATCTACGCTCGGACTATCTACGCTCGGACTATCTACGCTCGGACTATCTACGCATTATCGACGCTCGGACTATCTACGCTCGGACTATCTACGCTCGGACTATCTACGCACTATCGACGCTCGGACTATCTACGCTTGGACTATCTACGCTCGGACCATCTACGCTCGGACTATCTACGCTCGGACTATCTACGCTCGGACTATCTACGCTCGGACTATCTACGCACTATCGACGCTCGGACTATCTACGCTCGGACTATCTGCGCTCGGACTATCTACGCTCGGACTATCTACCCTCGGACTATCTACGCTCGGACTATCTACGCTCGGACTATCTGCGCTCGGACTATCTACGCTCGGACTATCTACGCTCGGACTATCTACGCTCGGACTATCTACGCTCGGACTATCTACGCTCTGACTATCTACGCTCGGACTATCTACGCTCGGACCATCTACGCTCGGACCATCTACGCTCGGACCATCTACGCTCGGACCATCTACGCTCGGACTATCTACGCTCGGACTATCTACGCACTATCGACGCTCGGACTATCTACGCTCGGACTATCTGCGCTCGGACTATCTACGCTCGGACTATCTACGCTCGGACTATCTACGCTCGGACTATCTGCGCTCGGACTATCTACGCTCGGACTATCTACGCTCGGACTATCTACGCTCGGACTATCTACGCTCGGACTATCTACGCTCGGACTATCTACGCTCGGACTATCTACGCTCGGACCATCTACGCTCGGACCATCTACGCTCGGACTATCTACGCTCGGACTATCTACGCATTATCTACGCTCGGACTATCTACGCTCGGACTATCTACGCTCGGACTATCTACGCTCGGACTATCTACGCATTATCGACGCTCGGACTATCTACGCTCGGACTATCTACGCTCGGACTATCTACGCACTATCGACGCTCGGACTATCTACGCTTGGACTATCTACGCTCGGACCATCTACGCTCGGACTATCTACGCTCGGACTATCTACGCTCGGACTATCTACGCTCGGACTATCTACGCACTATCGACGCTCGGACTATCTACGCTCGGACTATCTGCGCTCGGACTATCTACGCTCGGACTATCTACCCTCGGACTATCTACGCTCGGACTATCTACGCTCGGACTATCTGCGCTCGGACTATCTACGCTCGGACTATCTACGCTCGGACTATCTACGCTCGGACTATCTACGCTCGGACTATCTACGCTCTGACTATCTACGCTCGGACTATCTACGCTCGGACCATCTACGCTCGGACCATCTACGCTCGGACCATCTACGCTCGGACCATCTACGCTCGGACTATCTACGCTCGGACTATCTCTACGCACTATCGACGCTCGGACTATCTACGCTCGGACTATCTGCGCTCGGACTATCTACGCTCGGACTATCTACGCTCGGACTATCTACGCTCGGACTATCTGCGCTCGGACTATCTACGCTCGGACTATCTACGCTCGGACTATCTACGCTCGGACTATCTACGCTCGGACTATCTACGCTCGGACTATCTACGCTCGGACTATCTACGCTCGGACTATCTACGCTCGGACTATCTACGCTCGGACTATCTACGCTCGGACTATCTACGCTGGGACTATCTACGCTGGGACTATCTACGCTGGACTATCTACGCTCGGACCATCTACGCTCGGACCATCTACGCTCGGACTATCTACGCTCGGACTATCTACGCTCGGACTATCTACGCTGGGACTATCTACGCTGGGACTATCTACGCTGGGACTATCTACGCTGGGACTATCTACGCTCGGACTATCTACGCTCGGACCATCTACGCTCGGACTATCTACGACTGTCTACGCTCGGACTATCTACGCTCGGACTATCTACGCTGGGACTATCTACGCTGGGACTATCTACGCTCGGACTATCTACGCTCGGACTATTTACGCTCGGACTATCCACGCTCGGACTATCCACGTTCGGACCATCTACGCTCGGACTATCTACGCTCGGACTATTTACGCTCGGACTATCCACGCTCGGACTATCCACGTTCGGACTATCTACGCTCGGACTATCCACGCTCGGACTATCCACGTTCGGACTATCTACGCTCGGACTATCTACGCTCGGACTATCTACGCTCGGACTACATTTGGATGTGAAACTAGCGGTAATCTTTCAAGAACGACTAAACACCTGTGCCCAGCCTAACTCCGCCCACATGAATATTTAAAAATTCTCTAAAAAAGGGCGTTGCCGGGAGGACCAAGGGACAAGAAGGGGGGCTTAGAGTTGGGCGTGGTCTAGGCTGTGATTGACAGCTCACTTGTCACACAAAAATTGCTCATTGCTGCTTAAAGCAAAAGTTTACACACTAGAAAGTCTGATTCCACCCTTGTTTACACACTAAGATAGTTGTGAAGCTACACACCTGAACCTAATCCACACAATTATCTCAGAATTACATATGTCATTTTATTGTAAACCACTAGATGGAGCCAGAATAATCCAAACTGCAGCTGGGGCGTGTGTCAAATCAAATCAAAATAACTTTATTAATCCGTGAGGAACTTCATTTACAGACGAAGCACCAGTGGGGGTACACAAATACACAGAAGCACACGATCTAAGCATAAATACAGTAAAAGAGCAGAAATACAATATAAAACAAGTCTCGGATCAGCTGTTTAAAAGGCGAATTGAGGCGGGGAGGAAGCTGGATGTGGCCCTTTTTGTTTTGAATGGGAGGGACCTGAACCTACGCCCTGATGGGAGCAGACTGTAGTGTGTGAGAGATGAATGGGTTTATATCACTAGCGCAGACAGACTGACGTCACACACACACCAACAGACGTCACACACACCCACTGACGTCACACACACACCAACTGACGTCACACACACACCAACTGACGTCACACACACACCAACTGACGTCACACACACACACCAACTGACGTCACACACACACCAACTGACGTCACACACACACACCAACTGACGTCACACACACACACCAACTGACGTCACACACACACCAACTGACGTCACACACACACCAACTGACGTCACACACACACCAACTGACGTCACACACACCCACTGACGTCACACACACACCAACTGACGTCACACACACACCAACTGACGTCAGACACACACCAACTGACGTCACACACACACCAACTGACGTCACACACACCAACTGACGTCACACACACCAACTGACGTCACACACACACCAACTGACGTCACACACACACACCAACTGACGTCACACACACCAACTGACGTCACACACACACCAACTGACGTCACACACACACCAACTGACGTCACACATCACTCCAGAGCCAATGAGAGGCCAGGACCAAATTCAAATGTAGTACCACCACAAAGGTAGAGGCGCCACACAGACTATTTTTGGCTCAAAAGTGAGATTTTATCTAATTTGCAATAAAATGTCAAAAAAATGACCAGGACATGTAGAGAGCACTACAATCAACATATTTATGCAGTTTATGAGTTAAAATAAGTTGATTTGGGGTTTAGTAGCGCTTATATATTTTGTTGCAGTGCGTTGCTTTTGTACCATTTCATCATGTGCTAATGCTAATGTTAGCATATGTATCAGATCGCAAATAAAACTAGATGGCTGGTGGGAGGAGAGCGTGGCCGAAATGAGCGGGTTGGGGGCGGAGCTAAACATTCTAACCTGCAGAAACGAGTAAAGCTCCTTTAAATGCATGTTTGTATTCACTCTGCTCTTCCCGCGGCTCATAATCACACGCCATAAATTTGGAGTTTTATCCTGAGCATAAATGTGGGTCCACAAAGCTCCTCTGAGCCTGACCTGCAGTGAAGCCTTTGGAAGAGGAGGTAATGAAGTATGGATTTGAATAAAGTGAATCAGAGTAAAACGCCTTTTATGAAGGAGCGGACCGGGCATGGAGGGTTTACTGCTTCCATTTTTATTAGCAGCAAAAGATGAGCAGACAAAGGACTGATGCAGAGAACTATAAAGACCCAGATTAAAGGTTTCATAGTTCTACCCTTCATTTGTTTTCATTTATGTGGAGAGTCATTCAAACAAAAGGAGACCTAAACCTGGCACTGGGTAATCTTACAAATGTATCATGGGTTCTGAGAGAGTCCTCGCTGCGTGTCCTCGCTGCCTCCGGAGGTTCTTTCTCTAAATTGTCAGCAGAAGATCAATAACGTTGATTGATGGACTGACGCACAAGTCTATCACTAATTATTTCCTCGACACTCTGAGATATTGTCTTATTGTGGACCAGATCAGTTTAACGTATTTGGTATGTTCTGTGAAAGCGTCTTCAGTTATAAAACCATCCATTGGATAAACACAAATATCTAAAGAAGAGAAGAAGAATCCTGGAGTCAAAACATCCAGGTCATTGTTAGTTTCTGTGGCTATAGTTTTATTTCAACCATTCACATTATGACAATGGTTTTATTGAGCCAAAGGTTAAGAAGAGTCTGTTCTGACTCACAGGTGAATATTTGTTAGGAATGATCTGTGGGCTACAGATATATGTGATATGGGCCGTATGTGGCCCCCGAGCCAGCGGTTGGCTCAGGTCTGCTGCAGACGCACAAAAGACACGAACATACAACGTACTGAGAACAACCTCACATTTCTTCCAAAGCTCGTGCTTTCAGTGGAACAGTCTTTGCTGCAGATCTCAGTGATAAAAGACCAAAGTTTATTATTGTTTTTTATTAATACTCCACACTTTGCTCTCGACAGAAACGGGATTAGTTAGAATTCAAATATAAAGTGTGTTCTTAGAGATTCTCTTTTTGAGACTGGGGCTAAGTGCCGTGGGGTCCAGGTGGAGTCCAGGTGGAGTCCAGGTGGAGTCCAGGGTGAGTCCAGGTGGAGTCCAGGTGGAGTCCAGGTGGAGTCCAGGTAGAGTCCAGGTGGAGTCCAGGGTGAGTCCAGGGTGAGTCCAGGTGAAGTCCAGGTGGAGTCCAGGTGGAGTCCAGGTGAAGTCCAGATGAAGTCCAGGTGAAGTCCAGGTGAAGTCCAGGGTGAGTCCAGGGTGAGTCCAGGTGGAGTCCAGGTGGAGTCCAGGTGGAGTCCAGGTGGAGTCCAGGTGAAGTCCAGGTGAAGTCCAGGTGAAGTCCAGGGTGAGTCCAGGGTGAGTCCAGGTGGAGTCCAGGTGGAGTCCAGGTGGAGTCCAGGTGGAGTCCAGGGTGAGTCCAGGGTGAGTCCAGGGTGAGTCCAGGTGAAGTCCAGGTGGAGTCCAGGTGAAGTCCAGGTGGAGTCCAGGTGAAGTCCAGATGAAGTCCAGGTGGAGTCCAGGTGAAGTCCAGATGAAGTCCAGGTGGAGTCCAGGTGAAGTCCAGGTGGAGTCCAGGTGGAGTCCAGGTGAAGTCCAGGTGGAGTCCAGGTGAAGTCCAGGTGGAGTCCAGGTGAAGTCCAGGTGAAGTCCAGGTGAAGTCCAGGTGAAGTCCAGGTGAAGTCCAGGTGAAGTCCAGGGTGAGTCCAGGGTGAGTCCAGGTGGAGTCCAGGTGGAGTCCAGGTGGAGTCCAGGTGGAGTCCAGGTGAAGTCCAGGTGAAGTCCAGGTGAAGTCCAGGGTGAGTCCAGGGTGAGTCCAGGTGGAGTCCAGGTGGAGTCCAGGTGGAGTCCAGGTGGAGTCCAGGTGAAGTCCAGGTGAAGTCCAGGGTGAGTCCAGGTGGAGTCCAGGTGGAGTCCAGGTGGAGTCCAGGTGAAGTCCAGGTGGAGTCCAGGTGGAGTCCAGGCTTTGAACCAAAGCGCAGAGCGGCTTTGGGCTGAGATGGGAGAGACTTTGATTGATGGACTGACGCACAAGTCTATCACTAATTATTTCCTCGACACTCTGAGATATTGTCTTATTGTGGACCAGATCAGTTTAACGTATTTGGTATGTTCTGTGAAAGCGTCTTCAGTTATAAAACCATCCATTGGATAAACACAAATATCTAAAGAAGAGAAGAAGAATCCTGGAGTCAAAACATCCAGGTCATTGTTAGTTTCTGTGGCTATAGTTTTATTTCAACCATTCACATTATGACAATGGTTTTATTGAGCCAAAGGTTAAGAAGAGTCTGTTCTGACTCACAGGTGAATATTTGTTAGGAATGATCTGTGGGCTACAGATATATGTGATATGGGCCGTATGTGGCCCCCGAGCCAGCGGTTGGCTCAGGTCTGCTGCAGACGCACAAAAGACACGAACATACAACGTACTGAGAACAACCTCACATTTCTTCCAAAGCTCGTGCTTTCAGTGGAACAGTCTTTGCTGCAGATCTCAGTGATAAAAGACCAAAGTTTATTATTGTTTTTTATTAATACTCCACACTTTGCTCTCGACAGAAACGGGATTAGTTAGAATTCAAATATAAAGTGTGTTCTTAGAGATTCTCTTTTTGAGACTGGGGCTAAGTGCCGTGGGGTCCAGGTGGAGTCCAGGTGGAGTCCAGGTGGAGTCCAGGGTGAGTCCAGGTGGAGTCCAGGTGGAGTCCAGGTAGAGTCCAGGTGGAGTCCAGGGTGAGTCCAGGGTGAGTCCAGGGTGAGTCCAGGTGAAGTCCAGGTGGAGTCCAGGTGGAGTCCAGGTGAAGTCCAGATGAAGTCCAGGTGAAGTCCAGGTGAAGTCCAGGGTGAGTCCAGGGTGAGTCCAGGTGGAGTCCAGGTGGAGTCCAGGTGGAGTCCAGGTGGAGTCCAGGTGAAGTCCAGGTGAAGTCCAGGTGAAGTCCAGGGTGAGTCCAGGGTGAGTCCAGGTGGAGTCCAGGTGGAGTCCAGGTGGAGTCCAGGTGGAGTCCAGGGTGAGTCCAGGGTGAGTCCAGGGTGAGTCCAGGTGAAGTCCAGGTGGAGTCCAGGTGAAGTCCAGGTGGAGTCCAGGTGAAGTCCAGATGAAGTCCAGGTGGAGTCCAGGTGAAGTCCAGATGAAGTCCAGGTGGAGTCCAGGTGAAGTCCAGGTGGAGTCCAGGTGGAGTCCAGGTGAAGTCCAGGTGGAGTCCAGGTGAAGTCCAGGTGGAGTCCAGGTGAAGTCCAGGTGAAGTCCAGGTGAAGTCCAGGTGAAGTCCAGGTGAAGTCCAGGTGAAGTCCAGGGTAGTCCAGGTGAGTCCAGGGTGAGTCCAGGTGGAGTCCAGGTGGAGTCCAGGTGGAGTCCAGGTGGAGTCCAGGTGAAGTCCAGGTGAAGTCCAGGTGAAGTCCAGGGTGAGTCCAGGGTGAGTCCAGGTGGAGTCCAGGTGGAGTCCAGGTGGAGTCCAGGTGGAGTCCAGGTGAAGTCCAGGTGAAGTCCAGGGTGAGTCCAGGTGGAGTCCAGGTGGAGTCCAGGTGGAGTCCAGGTGAAGTCCAGGTGGAGTCCAGGTGGAGTCCAGGTGGAGTCCAGGCTTTGAACCAAAGCGCAGAGCGGCTTTGGGCTGAGATGGGAGAGACTTTGATTGATGGACTGACGCACAAGTCTATCACTAATTATTTCCTCGACACTCTGAGATATTGTCTTATTGTGGACCAGATCAGTTTAACGTATTTGGTATGTTCTGTGAAAGCGTCTTCAGTTATAAAACCATCCATTGGATAAACACAAATATCTAAAGAAGAGAAGAAGAATCCTGGAGTCAAAACATCCAGGTCATTGTTAGTTTCTGTGGCTATAGTTTTATTTCAACCATTCACATTATGACAATGGTTTTATTGAGCCAAAGGTTAAGAAGAGTCTGTTCTGACTCACAGGTGAATATTTGTTAGGAATGATCTGTGGGCTACAGATATATGTGATATGGGCCGTATGTGGCCCCCGAGCCAGCGGTTGGCTCAGGTCTGCTGCAGACGCACAAAAGACACGAACATACAACGTACTGAGAACAACCTCACATTTCTTCCAAAGCTCGTGCTTTCAGTGGAACAGTCTTTGCTGCAGATCTCAGTGATAAAAGACCAAAGTTTATTATTGTTTTTTATTAATACTCCACACTTTGCTCTCGACAGAAACGGGATTAGTTAGAATTCAAATATAAAGTGTGTTCTTAGAGATTCTCTTTTTGAGACTGGGGCTAAGTGCCGTGGGGTCCAGGTGGAGTCCAGGTGGAGTCCAGGTGGAGTCCAGGGTGAGTCCAGGTGGAGTCCAGGTGGAGTCCAGGTAGAGTCCAGGTGGAGTCCAGGGTGAGTCCAGGGTGAGTCCAGGGTGAGTCCAGGTGAAGTCCAGGTGGAGTCCAGGTGGAGTCCAGGTGAAGTCCAGATGAAGTCCAGGTGAAGTCCAGGTGAAGTCCAGGGTGAGTCCAGGGTGAGTCCAGGTGGAGTCCAGGTGGAGTCCAGGTGGAGTCCAGGTGGAGTCCAGGTGAAGTCCAGGTGAAGTCCAGGTGAAGTCCAGGGTGAGTCCAGGGTGAGTCCAGGTGGGTCCAGGTGGAGTCCAGGTGGAGTCCAGGTGGAGTCCAGGGTGAGTCCAGGGTGAGTCCAGGGTGAGTCCAGGTGAAGTCCAGGTGGAGTCCAGGTGAAGTCCAGGTGGAGTCCAGGTGAAGTCCAGATGAAGTCCAGGTGGAGTCCAGGTGAAGTCCAGATGAAGTCCAGGTGGAGTCCAGGTGAAGTCCAGGTGGAGTCCAGGTGGAGTCCAGGTGAAGTCCAGGTGGAGTCCAGGTGAAGTCCAGGTGGAGTCCAGGTGAAGTCCAGATGAAGTCCAGGTGGAGTCCAGGTGAAGTCCAGATGAAGTCCAGGTGGAGTCCAGGTGAAGTCCAGGTGGAGTCCAGGTGGAGTCCAGGTGAAGTCCAGGTGGAGTCCAGGTGAAGTCCAGGTGGAGTCCAGGTGAAGTCCAGGTGAAGTCCAGGTGAAGTCCAGGTGAAGTCCAGGTGAAGTCCAGGTGAAGTCCAGGGTGAGTCCAGGGTGAGTCCAGGTGGAGTCCAGGTGGAGTCCAGGTGGAGTCCAGGTGGAGTCCAGGTGAAGTCCAGGTGAAGTCCAGGTGAAGTCCAGGGTGAGTCCAGGGTGAGTCCAGGTGGAGTCCAGGTGGAGTCCAGGTGGAGTCCAGGTGGAGTCCAGGTGAAGTCCAGGTGAAGTCCAGGGTGAGTCCAGGTGGAGTCCAGGTGGAGTCCAGGTGGAGTCCAGGTGGAGTCCAGGTGAAGTCCAGGTGGAGTCCAGGTGGAGTCCAGGTGGAGTCCAGGCTTTGAACCAAAGCGCAGAGCGGCTTTGGGCTGAGATGGGAGAGACTTTAATGTGTCTACACTGAACTACTTTATCATCCTCTCTCTGTATTCTGCTGCAGAAAGGCGCCTGTAAGAAGGAAATATATCCAGAATAAAACCAAAACAACACAGCTGATGACCTCAGTGCAAATATCAGCAGCGCTTTGGAGCAGACCGTACAGAACTTTAGAAACTTTATGTGAGAACTTTGATTTAACAGATTGAAAACTTTAGTTTCCTTTTGACGCCAAGTTTTGTCAAATACATTTTCTGCTTTACCTTTTCCTGCCCTAAAAACAGATTTACCATTTTACCCTGGATGTTTCCGTTGCGTTCCTTTCCCCTTCTCAGAGCGTAGGGTTGTAGTGTGGCTGATATAACTTCACAGGCCAAAGTTAAAACTGTATTTAATGTTTCTAAACAGAGTTAAATGAGAATAAAAACATGAGCTTCACCTGTGGAGGAGTGAGACGCTGAATCCTCCATCACTCCACAGTTGGACTGCACCAGCGGCCCTCGCACTGACACCAGAGAGCTCCCCCTGCTGGTCAGAGAGGCCTTCAGCGGCGCCACGTGATTGAACTGCACCGAAGACAAACAACCCACAAAACCGCTGGACGCCGCCTGCCGCACCTCCTCGCCGAACGCCTCCGGTCCTGCACACGCCACACAAACACTTTCAGAATCAGAATGAATCAGAACGAAGAGATTATTACTGAAGTTATGAACTGTATTATTATTATTATTTACTGTACGTTTCTCCAGCGTGAGAGCAATAAAATCGTATCTTACTTATGAGCGACAACAGACGTCACTTTTCCCACACATTTTGTTTGTGTGAAGCCATTTATTATCAAATAAACGTTTATTATTTTAAATTATAATGACATCTTCTCAAACTCCCCTGATTAAAAGTTTACATCCCCCAGTAGCGTGTCCCTGCAACATGTATGACAAATGGAGTTTTTGTGAGATTCTTAATCCTCTCTGTCGCTAAAGCTGCTTATTCTTCAGACAAAAAGCCTCCAGTTTTAGTAATTGCTTGGCTGCCACGCATGAACTGTACATGTCAGATCCCAGAGCTCAATGGTCTAAGAATTTTAAAATAGAAAGTATGTAATGCCTCAGACTCTTTAACCTCTCGATCGAGTCCTGGGTCTACAGCCTCAGTCCTGGGTCTACGGCCTCAGTCCTGGGTCTACGGCCTCAGTCCTGGGTCTACGGCCTCAGTCCTGGGTCTACGGCCTCAGTCCTGGGTCTACGGCCTCAGTCCTGGGTCTACGGCCTCAGTCCTGGGTCTACGGCCTCAGTCCTGGGTCTACAGCCTCAGTCCTGGGTCTACGGCCTCAGTCCTGGGTCTACGGCCTCAGTCCTTGGTCTACGGCCTCAGTCCTGGGTCTACGGCCTCAGTCCTGGGTCTACGGCCTCAGTCCTGGGTCTACGGCCTCAGTCCTGGGTCTACAGCCTCAGTCCTGGGTCCACAGCCTCAGTCCTCGGTCCACAGCCTTAGTCCTGGGTCTACAGCCTCAGTCCTTGGTCTACAGCCTCAGTCCTGGGTCTACAGTCAGACAGGACATGTTCACAGACACATGCAGGACATGTTCACAGACGCATGTTCACAGAACATAATCACAGACACATGCTCACAGACACATGCTCACAGACACATGCTCACAGACGCATGTTCACAGAACATAATCACAGACACATGCTCACAGACACATGCTCACAGACACATGCTCACAGACACATGTTCACAGACACATGTTCACAGACACATGCTCACAGACACATGCTCACAGACACATGCTCACAGACACATGTTCACAGACACATGCTCACAGACACATGTTCACAGACACATGTTCACAGACACATGCTCACAGACACATGCTCACAGACACATGTTCACAGACACATGTTCACAGACACATGCTCACAGACACATGCTCACAGACACATGTTCACAGACACATGTTCACAGACACATGTTCACAGACACATGCTCACAGACACATGCTCACAGACACATGCTCACAGACACATGTTCACAGACACATGCTCACAGACACATGCTCACAGACACATGTTCACAGACACATGCTCACAGACACATGCTCACAGACACATGCTCACAGACACATGCTCACAGACACATGCTCACAGACACATGTTCACAGACACATGCTCACAGACACATGCTCACAGACATATGTTCACAGACACATAATCACAGACACATGCTCACAGACACATGCTCACAGACACATAATCACAGACACATGCTCACAGACACATGCTCACAGACACATGCTCACAGACACATGCTCACAGACACATGTTCACAGACACATGCTCACAGACACATGCTCACAGACACATGCTCACAGACACATGCTCACAGACACATGCTCACAGACACATGCTCACAGACACATGCTCACAGACACATGCTCACAGACACATGCTCACAGACACATGTTCACAGACACATGCTCACAGACACATGCTCACAGACACATGTTCACAGACACATGCTCACAGACACATGCTCACAGACACATGTTCACAGACACATAATCACAGACACATGCTCACAGACACATGTTCACAGACACATGCTCACAGACACATGTTCACAGACACATGCTCACAGACACATGTTCACAGACACAGGTTCACAGACACTGTGGGTAATGGTAGAACTTACTGAGGACCTTTCCCAGGGTCAGGGCTCGGATCAGGAGCAGCTCTGCCTCGGACGACAGTGTGTACTTCCTGTGTGCGTCCTGGTCGATCTGGTAGAAATCAAATAACAAGAAGCGGTTACAAGAAACACACACCCAGATAAGAGCCGCCGCGGCGTTTCCCAGACCCTATAGATCGGGAACGTGTTGATGGCGAAAACCTATCCACCGCATTTAGTCTAAGTGATTTAGCCCATTCTCTCCTGGTCCGCGGCGTTCCCTGATGCATCACTTGACACGATGAACTGCGATAAAGCGTGGCGTGATTACATACGCCGATGGTTAATAAGCGCCGGCCGCAGTGACGCCGATAGATCAGATCGTGTGGCAGCGAGGAATGGATTTCATTTCAGTGAGGAATTGATTTCAACCCGGTTTGCATACAATTCATTTAGCTGTTTCGCTATTTGTGGCGTTTAGATAATAACCCAGACAGAGTGCACAGGTGGGGTCGGGTTTGTTTGCCAGAAATGAGATAATTTAATGTGTGGCGAGGACTATTTCTCATTATATTTCTGTTTCATATGTATTTATGTGATTTATGTGTTTAATGTTATTTCAATGTGAGCCCTGCAGAGGTATAATTTATTTAGTTTTCCTTCTGCTCTCGCTAAATCACGAGGCGCTAAATCGTCACGGCCTTCACCTGAGGAGAGAGGCTTTGTTTCATTTTAGTGGTTAATCATTTGAATTAGGCTGGAGTTAAATGCAATTCCCCATAATATATAACACACACATGCTTCTTTTGGACTGTGCGAAGAATTCTAAAGTGTGTTTTAACGACCGCAGAAGCCTCACGTGCGATTTCTCAATGGGACTCAGATGTAGGACTCATTCTTCTTTCTAATTGGACGCTGGATGTGAAGCCGTGAGGGGCCAGAGGGATGTTATGTGCAACAGACAAAAAGTGACTATAGTAAAAACTAGAGCAAGTCGATACATTTCAGTAAATATTGAGTTTAATATTTACTGAAATTTACAAAGCTTTTTGGATGTTCTTCTCGTGTTCCTTGAATTTGATTATTAATGTTATTATATGTTTGTGCATGTTTTGCAAAGATTTGTGAAGCACTTTTATCTGTTCTGTCTCTATACATGTCCGGGGAAGAAAACACTGCAGATAGTTCTGTGTAAAAATGATTGATTTTGAAGATATCGTGACAATATCGTTATCGGGAGTTGGGACCTCACCGACTCCCCCCCCCCCCCACACATTCTCCTCCACCCACACCGACCCCCCCTCATCTCAGCTTTACAACCAACCGTGCACAGGCCCACCTCCTTTAACCGTGCCCAAACCCAGTTGTCGCTGCCACACAGAACCTATACAATACAATACAATACAATACAATTTATTCTTGTATAGCCCTAGGTCACAACAGAAGTCATCTCAGAGGACTTAACAAAACCATTGAAATCACCAACACAGGTCAGAGAATCAACAGTTAAAACACATGAAGAATATAAAGCACACACAGAAGAAAATGTCCATACATGTTGTAGAATGCTAAAGTGTCCTGATCATCACCAATCCTTTCTGTTGGACACTAACTGTCCAACAAGACCCTCCTGCATCGACAAGGAACAACTCTTAAAAAACCCAGTGGGAAAAAGTGAGAAACCTTGGAGGAGAACTAGGGAAACCCACAGGGAGGGAGACCCATATGAGAAAGGGATCCGCTCCTCCGGACGGACAGACTAATGATCCAGGACCTAAGCTAGCTACAGAACGTGGACCAGTGGCCGCTGAACGTGGACAGGTGCAGGACTGAAGCACTCCCAGGCGGGTCGGGCGGGGCAGTCCGCAGGTGTAGATGGAAGAGGCCAGGCTCAGAGATCCCGTCATCGTACCATGAAACAGACAATGGGACAACGGGTGAATAGCAATGAACAAACTACAGTCAGAATCCTAAAAATGCTAAACAGATAAAGTAGGAAGGAGGAGAGGATAGTGCTCAAGTTACCATACTTCTCCAGCAGGGGGCTCCCTATGCAGCTTGACTGACACTCTGAGGAGTTTAGCCTTCCCTGAGTCTTACCTTCCTAGCCATATGCTAAACTAAAGAGGACTGTTTTAAACCTAGCCTTGAATAAAGAATAACATACAGCATAATATATAACATAATATACAACATAACACAATACATTATTGAATAATATATAACATAATATATAACATAATACAGCATATATATATAATATATACACTACATATTATATATTACCTAATTATATGCTAAATTAAAGTAAAGTGCTTTAAGCCTGGCCTTGAATGTGGAGACCGTATCTGCTTCCTTAACATAAATGGGAAGCTGATTCCACAGTAAAGGAGCTTGGTAGCTAAATGCTCTGCCACCAACAGTGACCTTTGAGACCTTAGGGACCACCAGACGTCTGGCGTTTTGTGAGCGCAACGCTCGACCTGGTTGATACGACACTAACGTGTCTTGGAGATAAGAAGGAGCCAAGCCATTTATGGCTTTATATGTTAAGAGTAGGATTTTAAACTTTATTCTGTAATCCACAGGGAGCCAGTGGAGTGATTTTAACACCGGAGTTATGTGCTCCCTCCTTTTGGTACCTGTTAAGATCCTAGCTGCTGTATTCTGAACGAGCTGGAAGCTCTTCAAAGAGGCTTTAGGGCACGCTGCCAGTAAAGCGTTACAGTAGTCGAGCCTTGAGGTGACAAACGCGTGAATGAGTTTTTCCGTGTCACTTTTAGGAAGGAAATTCCTAATTTTAGCGATGTTCCGTAAGTGGAAGTACGCCGTTTTAGTTGCTTGGCTTATTTAAGCCTTGAAGGAGAGTTCTTGGTCAAAAATGACTCCAAGATTCCTCACAGTGTTACTGGGTATTATACTGACATTATCGAGAGTAACCATCTGGTTAGTGAGGGAGTCACGCAGGCGCTTCGGACCGAGTAGGATCACTTCTGTCTTCTCCGGGTTGAGAAGTAGGAAGTTAAGAGTCATCCACATTTTAAGGTCCTTTATGCAGGCACTGAGCTTTTCTAGCTGATCTGTCTGATTAGGCTTCATCGACAGATAAAGCTGTGTGTCATCTGCATAGCAGTGGAAATTAATTCCATGCTTTTTAATAATGTTTCCCAGTGGCAGCATGTAGAGAGTAAAAAGAATCGGTCCGAGTACCGAACCCTGCGGCACACCGAATTCCACTCCAGAATAAGGCGACGAGTCCTGATTCACATTGACGAAGTGATATCGATCTGATAAATAGGATTTAAACCAGCCAAGGGCTGTTCCTCTAAGACCTATATCACATTCTAGCCTCTGCAGTAGAATGCTGTGGTCTATTGTGTCAAATGCAGCACTAAGGTCCAGTAGGACCAGCACTGACACTTGTCCATTATCGGCAGCTAGTAGTAAGTCATTTGTGACTTTGACTAGTGCCGTTTCAGTGCTATGATGAGCTCTGAATCCTGATTGAAAGACTTCAAACATATCATTTTCCTGCAGGTGGCAGCGGAGCTGCTCAGCTATAAGTTTTTCCAGGATTTTAGATATAAAAGTGAGGTTTGAGATCGGTCTGTAGTTTGTAAGTATTTCTGGGTCCAGGTTTGTTTTCTTCAGAAGGGGTTTGATTACCGCGGTTTTAAAAGCTTGTGGGACATAGCCACATTGTATGGATGCGTTTATTATATTTACGATAGGCTCAATTATCAAAGGAAGTATGTCTTTGAAGAGCCATGTCGGGACTGCGTCTAACATGCAAGTTGAGGCTTTTGAGGATGTGACCACAGAGATCACCTCTGCTTGGCTCACAGCCATGAATTTATTAAGGCCCACTGAAGAGTCTAAGTGGGAAGTCACGTATGCCGCTTCAACCGAGTGGGAGTGGCGATATAGCCTCTCCATTTTTCTGACGTCCTGTTTTAAAGTGTGGAGTTGAACCACGTACCAGGGCGACGATGATCTAATCCTAATGGTTTTCTGTTTTAAAGGAGCTGCTGCATTTAATGCAGATTTTAAAGACTCCATAGTGTTGCCCACCGTTTGGTCAATGACTGAGGGACTGCAGCTGCTGTGAACAGGTTCACCTGCAGCAGTATTCAACATAGGCTGTATTAGTTCTTTGAACCTTGTGATAGATTTATCATTTAAGGTTCTTTTCATTATGGTTTTATCTTGCGGGACAGGAAAGTCCTCCAAAGCGAGATCAAACGTGATCAAGAAATGGTCAGACAGCAACGAGCTTTGACGCTGGATGTCAACATTGGAGACATCACAGCCGTAGGTCAGGACAAGGTCCAAGGTGTGGTTATGAATGTGAGTAGGTTCCTCGACATTCTGAGTAAAACCAACACCATCTAGTACGGCGCTGAAAGCTTTGTTTAAGCTGTCAGTGCTGTCGTCCACATGTATATTGAAGTCTCCAGCTATAACTATGTTTTCCCATTCCAAAACTAGGTTTGAAATGAAGTCAGAGAATTCTGTTAGGAACTCGCTGTAAGGACCAGGAGGTCGGTATAAAACTATAAATAGTACTGCTTTTTGTTTTCTCCACCCAGGACAGGTGATTGAAAGTGTTAAGTTTTCAAACGAGTGAAAAGCGTTGTTGGTTTTGGGACTAAGAACCAAGTTGGTGTGTGATATAATCGCAACACCACCGCCGCGACCTGTAGCTCTGGCTTTCTGGTAGTTAACATGCGTCGGAGGAGTGCACTCATTCAATCTAACGTACTCGTCCTGTTGGAGCCAAGTCTCCGAGAGCGCAAACAGATCCAAGCCCTTGTCTATAATAAGTTCGTTTATGAGAAGCGATTTAGACGAGATTGATCTGACGTTCATTAAACCACATTTAACAACCCTACCGCTAGAACTATTTCTGTCTGTCTGAACTTTTATTAAGTTACTGTGTCTGACACCCTAGGTCAGATTTCCTCGCATATAGTGCTTTAGACTTCAAGCGGGGAACACACACAGTTTCAATCTGACTAGGTTCTGAGGCTAGTAACTGAGCACACACAGGCACACACACACATGCACACACAGTTTCAATCTGACTAGCCTCTGAGGCTAGTAACTGAACAGATGGGGGCTCAGGTTGTGGCAGAGCAGCTCTGCACCCGGGCCTCAGTTCTGCATCGTCATGAGCCGAGCAGAACAGTTTTAAGAGCCAGGGCCAAACTAGCCAAAGGGATGTACCCGCCAACTGGAGGCGGATGAGACCGGGCTTTCCCCAAAAGGCACTCCAATTGTCCAACATGAACACACCACTTCGAGGGCACCAGCCAGACAGCCAGCGGTTGAAAGCCGAGTGTCTGCTGAATGCTTCTGCACTGCTAGCTCCCTACACTCCTCACACTCACACTATCACCTCACACACCACACTCATCCCTCTTCTCCACTCTCACTACCCCCCTCTCACTCCACACTCACACCCATCACTATCTCACCTCACCTCTCCCCCTCATCTTTTCTACCCCTCTCACACTTTCTCTCTCCCTCTCACACCAAATCTCTTCCACTCTCACACCCCCATCCACTCCATCTCACCCTCTCACACCCCCACTAACACTCCCTCTCTCTCCTCTCTCACTCACTCTACTCATCCCACACTCTCCACACATCTCACTCACTCACACCCCTCTCACTCCTCTATCTCTCCCTCTCTCTCTCCCCTCTCTTCTCCCCACTCTCTTCCTCTCTCAACCCCAATACCAAAACCCCCCACAAAAACCATATACCCCCCATCCCCACATCCCAACCCTCCCCACACCACCCCCCACCAACCACAAAAAAACCCCACACCAACCAACCAACCTACAACACACACCCACCCACCACTACCCCCCAACCACCCAACCACACCAAACAACCCCCCCCCACACCAACCCAACCCACCCACCCCCCACCCCCCCCCCACACTCAACCCCCACCACCCCCACCTCAACACCCACCACCACCACCCCCCACCCCAAACCCACCCCCCCCCCCCCCCCCAACAACCACAACACCACAAACACCCCCAACAACAACAACACCCCAACCAAACTAACACCTAACCAACCCACACCATACAACCACCATCATCATCAAACACACCCCCTACAATAATTCAACCTCCCCCCTACAAATAACTCCCCCTTCCCAACAACACCCCCAACAACAAAAACCTCACAAATCCTCATCATACACACCCAACCTCATAAACACCATCCACAACACCACCAATCCACAACAAACCCAAAACAA